TTCTCTGAGGTATGTTTAATCTGCAGGATAGATCAATTTTTCAGTTGGTTTCTCTTGAGGACATGAACCTATATTTACCTTGTATTTTTTTTTTTATATCTTGTTTGATTCCTCATGCAGGGCAGCACGGTGGCGCAACTGGTAGAGCTGCTGCCTCTCAGCGAGCAGGTCCCTGGTTCAAACCCCGGTCCAGGGGCCTTTCTGGGTGGAGTTTACATGTTCTCTCCGTGCATGCGTGGGTTTTCTCCGGGTACTCCGGTTTCCTCCCACAGTCCAAAAACATGCATGTTAGGCTGATTGGTAACTCTAAATTGTCCCTATGTGTGAGTGAGAGAGTGAATGGTTGTTTGTCTCGTTTGTCTCTGTGTGGCCCTGTGATGGACTTGCGACCCGTCCAGGGTGTACCCCGCCCCTCGCATAGTGATTGCTGGACATGGGCACCAGCGACCCCCGTGACCCAAAATGGAATAGGCGGGTAAAGAAAATGGATGGATGGATGGATGATTCCTCATGCATGCTCCTTTGTATTGAAATCTTGGCCCAACAATTTCCTGTGGGACCAATAAAGCTCTTTTCTTATCTTATCAAAGTTTTTTTTTTTTCCACTTTAGTCTCTAAATGATATTTAAGCTTGTGGTTTCAGCAACAAAAGTAAACCTTGTGATATTGAGATAAACAAAGAGCCAGTATGTGTGCAACACCAGATTCTGTTTCATAATTGCATGTGTTCTCTACAAATAAACAGGTCATTCACAACATACACACATTAAACATTAACAGGCAGTCATGAATCAATATAAAAGCAGTGCAGAGCATCTCGTCAACAGGAGTTTTGGAGACGTAGTAACAAGGAATCAAGATGAGTTTCACAGTTTTGATGTTGGTGATTATCTGTGGCTCAGTTTTAGTCCAGCATGGTGACACTGAAACTGTATTGACAACTGAGACAGAGTCCTGCATGCCTAACATGTGTACACTTCGAAAAGTATTTGGTGCCATGACAGAGAAGCAGAGCAGCATGGAGACTAGGCTGAAGGCAATTGAAAACCAAATTACTCAACTGAAGAACAAAGGTAAAGTGAAGTCTGTGTTAGGAGTGCTTTAAAAACTTTATTGTTAAGATGTTTTCCTATGGAACAAATCAACCATTGCATACATTACTGTATTATTTTTACCATCTAGAAGCAGTCAAAGTTGTGTTCAGCGCAGCAACGGGTGGGAATGGGCACATTGGACCTGTCAACACGCACACAACAATGGTCTACAGAACAGTGATAACAAATGTTGGGAATGCCTACAATCGGTTCACAGGTATGTAGCAATGTTGTTCACTGTTCTGCAGTGGGTCTCCCACTATTCACACGGTAGCTCTTGGCTCTCCTTCACCATACAGATTGTGTAGACATCTTTACAGAAGCATTAACTTACTCTTTAAGTACAAAGGAGACAGGAGACATTATTCACTGCTTAAGTGGTAGCCATACCGTCCTGCTCTGACCTTAACACATAGAGAGAGAAGGAGGTGGTGAGGCTCCACCTTTATTGCCTTCACAACACAGTGTAACCTTCTGTTTCACAAAATAGTGCCAACCAAAATTCATTTGTGGCAAACATCGTATTCAACAAATGTATTGACATTTTCTTTTTATCTTTAAGGAAAGCATTTCGTTTCTACAGTTGGGGATTTAGATTTTCAGAAAATCATTCAAAGTTGGACTTAACATATTAATACTGTCCATACCACCCTGCACATTGTTTACATCTGTGAAATTATGGAGAAGTCAAGATGACATCTAAATGGGCAATTGCTCACAGCCGACAAAACAACTGCTTGATTAACAGCAAGCTAAAATGAATCAATGTCACAAATTATTTTAAAAATATTTACAAAGAGTGTAATGAACTGGTTACCTTTTAGCATGTGTGTTAGCCTCTTCATTGTTTTATTTTCCTGTAACACTGCCTCCTTCTTCACTGATGGTCTAAAAAGCTTTTGTATTGATGGTTCCATCCATCCATCCATCCATCCATCTTTTTTTCATTCAACCTTCATTTCTACAAGTTAGTCTCATTGAGCCTCGAGGACTCATTTACAAGTGAGACCTGCTTTTAACAACGAATCATGACAACAGTAGACAATCAAAAAAGAAAGCACATAAATTGAAAAAATAAATGGAAGAAAATTATATTTAAAAAAAACTAAACAAAAACAGCTAGATTGTAAAGCAATGTAGTATACTAAAAACAGTAACATGTCTGCATTAGTTTATGCCATGAACTCTGAAGCCAGTTAGAGAGGTCAATGTTAAGAGTTTCAGATCTTTTTGCAAGATATTCCAGGAAACAGGAGCAGAGTAGGAGAAGGTCCTTTTGCCAAGTTTAGTCCTCACTGAGGGAATACTGCAGGTAATGATGTCTTGGGAGCGCACGCTGTAGCTGCACTCACACAGTGACATGTAGGAGGAGATGTATGAAGGCAGCAGACCAAGAAGTGATTTAAAAATGAAAATGTACCAGTGGGAGGGTGCTTGTAGGAGCATTTATGTAAATAATGTCAGCATAATCAATGGAGGGAAGGAAAGTCACAGTTACAAGATCTTTCCGAGCATTCAGAGTTAGACAGGATCCATCAATCCATTCTCTTTACCCACTTCTTCCTTTTTTGGGTCATGGGGAGTTGCCAGTGCCCGTATCCAGCAGTCACTGTTCGAGGGGTGGGGTACACCATGGACCAGTCTCCAGTCCATCACAGGGACACATAGAGACAAACGAGACAAACAACCATTCACTCACTCAGTCACACCTAGAGACAATTTAGAGTTACCAATCAGTCTAACATGCATGTTTTTGGTCTGTGAGAGGAAACCGGAGTACCCGGAGAAAACCCACGCATATACGGAGAGAACATGCAAACTCCACCCAGAAAGGTCCCGACTGGGATTTGATTTGGCAACCTTCTCGCTGAGAGGCAACAGCTCTACTAACTGAGCCACCGTGCTGCATAAACGTCTGTTTTATTCTTTTGAAATTAACATTCATCTGTCATGGAACATGTTGGGTTTGGAAATGGTGACTCTAAGCCAATGTAGACTAAACCATTTAAAAATTACACACACACTTGACTGTTTTAGTTAGTAAGCTAATCAATATTAAAAGACACATAAACAGAGACAAAGTTAAATTTGATAGCTGCACCACCCCAAAACAGCAAGCACAGATATGATTTTTTGAGGGAAATGTCCAAATATTATCTAATGTAGAATCAAATCTGTTCAACAGCCCTGTGACTTCTTTGCCAAATTTGTTATTTTATGATGCACCAAATGGTTTTAATTGCTGAAGAAGACTTTAGGCAGCTATGTGGCTCACCTTTGGACAACTTTAATTAGTAACTGAACAAAAACATTGTTTCCACAGGTATTTTTGTTGCTCCTGTCTCAGGTATATACTACTTCACTTTCTTTTATATCGCTGGAGGAGCAAACCGATCGAGTCTCGTCCTCATGAAGAACAACCAGGCTGTTGTGGCATCCATTGACCACCAGACCTCACACGATGAAGCTGATAACGGAGGCAACGCAGTGTTCCTGCAGCTGCAGAAACGAGACCAGGTGTACATGAGGCTGAATCCAAACACACATGTTTTCGGCAACGATAGACTCACCACTTTCAGCGGTGTTCTTGTGCATCAACTTTGAGCAAGACTGAATTGATTTGTCTTCTTGTTTTACAGTTTCAAATGTAAAATAAAAACGAGAATTTTGACAAATCAAATCGTAGCAAATATACTTTAAACATATTACAACTCACTAAAAGATGTTTTCAATGTAGTGCAGAAAGAAAAGTTCAACTTAGATCACTTTTAGTATTTTAGCATTTTTAGGAGAAAATGTTTATAATCTAAGGGGTACAAATGTCAAATTTTAGTCTGTTTTCCAGCTGGAAGCCCAGGAAACTTTTTTTGAAGTTAGAACAGAGTGATCGCTTGTTTTTGGGGTGGGCAGTGTTGTTTCCTTATTGTTTGAATAAAGTATCATTATACTTGTAGATTGCAGGTTCCCTCTGTAACGTGGTGTTTTGTTTCTACTAACTCTACATACTCAAATTGGAAGTTTGGTTTGACTCATTTTTTGGACAAAACATGCAGTATTTGTCATTTTTCATTAATTTAATATTTCTCTTTCAATACAAATATCTTCAGACCTGCCAGGGCCAGATTAACACTTCGCTGTACCCTGGGCAACAATCTTCAAGGGCCCATTCATCACGACGTGAGAATCACCATAATCTGTCAAAATACAGAATAAATTACCATAATATTCAGTAAATATACTTAAAATTCTAACTATCAAGTGTATTTTAATGTATTTTAATCCAAATGCTCATTGAAACAAATCATCAAGACTGAATTAAGTTTAATGCACTTTGACCCCCCCCCATCACCCTACGTGTACTTGTTTAGTAACTTGTTGGCCACTGGTGTTAGAAGCATTTATAATGTGTGTGTATTGGGACACACACTGAAGGGGGGGGGGGGTCCTCCCCCAGAAAATTTTGAATAAAGTAGATGTCATTTCCTGCATCCTGGTGTATTTTAACGGTTGGTTAACATCTAGTTTTACCTACAAAGTAAACACTTGGAACGCCTTGGGATTCCCCTGGAGGAGCTGGTCCAAGTGTCTGGGGAGAGGGAAGTCTGGTTAGGCTGCTACCCCCACGGATGGATGGAAGGAAACACTTGATTCAGTAACTATTTTAGAGCTAATGGCACAACAAGAAGTAACCTGACCAACAGCTGATTCAATGAATTAAAAATATTGTAAATTCAAAGGTGACGATTTGATGCCCACATGAAAATTAATTGCTGTAACTTAGTTGACTTCAAATGAAATAAGATGATCAATGAATGGTTGCGACAAAGGATTTACTGATTATAACAAAGATTCCTTCAAGAAACCTCCCAGTATAAATCATAAAACCAATATGACTTCTGCTCATTCTAAATTTGTCAAATGACCTAAATCTTCTAAAGTGAAGGAGAATCCATCCATCCATTATCTTTACCCGCTTATTCCGTTTTGGGTCACGGGGGTCGCTGGTGCCCATGTCCAGCAATCACTGTGCGAGGGGCGGGGTACACCCTGGACGGGTCGCAAGTCCATCACAGGGACACATAGAGACAAACGAGACAAACAACCATTCACTCTCTCACTCACACCTAGGGACAATTTAGAGTTACCAATCAGCGTAACATGCATGTTTTTGGTCTGTGGGAGGAAACTGGAGCACCCAGAGAAAACCCACGCATGCACGGAGAGAACATGCAAACTCCACCCAGAAAGGCCCCTGGACCAGAGTTTGAATCAAGGACCTGCTCGCTGAGAGGCAGCAGCTCTACCAGTTGCGCCACCGTGCTGCCTGAAGGAGAATCATTTTAAAATAATAAATAAGATATATCCTGTAGCCATGTTTCTGCAAAGAAGATTTAAATTTCATGTTGATTTGTGTGTCTGTTGTAAATCACTAGATGAATCCCTCGAGCAATTTTTTTTTTTCATGTCAATACAAAGTGTTTGGTCAGACATCAGAAACTGGATTAATCTCAAACTTAACATTCCTTCTTTTCATGCTGATAACATTTTACTTTACGTGGATAACTTAAGCTCAGCTTTCTCTGATGCCATAAATATAGTCGTACTTATAGCAAAGTACCACATTCACTGTAGTAAGAGGAGGGATAATAAATCCTCCTTCGTGTTTTATGAACGATTTTAAGTCATACTATTCTTCATTAAGTAGATTAAAAACTGCAAAACTGATAAAAATAATCTCACAACAAATACAAACTTATTGTTCTAATTAAAACAAGAAGCTTCTCAAGGAAAAAAAAACTGATGAGCTTGTCAGCAGGTAAGGGGCGTTTACCTTCGGGACAAATTGAGGTTGTCGATTGGTCAGTTACTGACACGCCTTCTGGGTTGATTGACAGGTCGCACCTTCGAGGATCCGATTGAAAAAAAAAAACAATCGCGAGCTGCAGCAGCCGAGCTGGGAGGAAGAGGAGCTGCCCAAATGCAGTGGAAGCGCAGCAGTGTCTCTGTGCAGCGCAGGGCTCCAAGTAAAGCAGGAGATAACCAGATGTTTTGCTTGTGCCCTCACTGCCCTGGGCCCCTTAGAGATCATGGGCCCCTTAGAGATCATGGGCCCCTTAGAGATCATGGGCCCCTGGGCAGTTGCCCATATGGTTAATCCGGCCTTGGACCTGGGCATTCCTACGTCTGCGGGTCACATTCAGCCCATGTATGGTCCATGTGAGATCAGTCATAAATTAAAAAAATTAAAATAAAATGAAAGATTTATACCTTTCACATTGTTGTGAATAATCTAGCTGTTTGTGTTACTTTTTCTTGCCATCTTATATGTAAACAATTTTAAAAAAAAGTCTGTATGCCTTTTTATAACTGTCTATTGTTGTCACTGTTGTCATCTTCATTCTTTGTTAAAATCAGGTCTCTCTTGTAAATGAGTCCTCGAGGCTCAATGGGATTTACCTGTCTAAATAAAGGTTGAATGAATTTTGTGCTTTTATTTTGAAAAACATGCTGTTCTTTTTTTAATTTTTTATTAATACATATGAATGTGCTTGCTTGCCCTCCGTAGCTGAACCACCACAGGTGATGATGACCACCTAGCCCTTAAAATGTCAGCTCACCCCAGAAAAAGAAAAGTCGATCACTTCCAGAAGACATGGACTGAAAAATATTTCTTTACATAAATCAACATTAAAGCTGTATGCTTGTGGTACACAGGTCAACGTGTTTAAGGATTATAATTTGAATCTCCATCTTGATTCCTTGTTACTACGTCTCCAAAACTCCTGTTGACGAGATTCTCTGCACTGATTTTACATTGATTCATGACTGCCTGTTAATGTTTAATGTGTGTATGTTGTGAATGACCTGTTTATTTGTAGAGAACACATGCAATTATGAAACAGAATCTGGTGTTGAACACATACTGGCTCTTTGTTTATCTCAGTATCACAAGGTTTACTTTTGTTGCTGAAACCACAAGCTTAAATATCATTTAGAGACTAAAGTGGAAAAAAAAACTTTGATAAGATGAGAAAAGAGCTTTATTGGTCCCACAGGAAATTGTTGGGCCAGGATTTCAATACAAAGGAGCATGATGAGGAATCAGAATCAGAATAAACTTTATTGGAATTGCACCGAGGTACACTGCAAATATGTACGTACAGTCGTCCGAAAGATGGGCGGAGTGCACGAAGCTGCAACTACAGGAGAGCGCGGCCTTCTTATTCTTATCAGATAATAATCTTAGATAGGAAAAGGGGGAGAAACATGAGGGTATATAGTGGTATTACAAAAAAGATCTTTCACATCTTGTCTATCAGGACACGATTTGAGACATCAAAAAACTCTACCAGCAGCACAATTAAAACATGATTACATTTGCATTTGACATCGAGGTGTTGAGATTTGTCCATGAGCGTTTTTTCAGATCAGCCACAGTTTCTGAAGATGTTGTTCCAGCCAGCAGTTCTGATAAGCTTGCACAGAAAGTTCTCGGGGGGGAGGGGGGGTGCGATAGATGAAGCTTTTGTCCTTGGGTACTCATGTCCTAGGAGAACTTTGATAGTCAGCCCGTCTCTGAGTCCGTCAGGAGTCTGATTCAGATAAACTTGATTTTTGTTTTTTCTTCAGGCAGACAGATTTTTTTCTTCAGCCTCAAGTCCATCTGGGCGTTCTGGTTCCGAAAATGCCTAATTGTGGGATTCCATTCCACTGATCCATGCTATGAGTCTCCTTCAAGGTCGAACCCACCACGCTGACGAGTCCCAGAAGCCGCAGTTGGTCTGCGATTCTCAATCGCCTCCACCTTACGGTTAAACTCGTAAACGAGACGATTTAAAGTTCCCACAGCGAGTACCAGACCTTCACACTGACTCAGAATCACACAAGATATTAAAAAAAATACAAGGTAAATATAGGTTCATGTCCTCAAGAGAAAACAACTGAAAAATTGATCTATCCTGCAGATTAAACATACCTCAGAGAACTGATAAGCTTATCTTTGTGTTTAATTTAGGCTGGACTGAGAAAGTTTAAAGTTGAACCGAACCAGATTTTTTTTCAGTTCGTTGTTTCTGGGGTTGTACGAGCTGCAGAACTGCTAAGCTGAAATTCTAGAAGGAACTAAAAGGAAGCCCACAATCCTTCAGTCTGATTAGTTTTAAATAGTTTTGTTGTAAATGTCATATACAGTAAGTATATAGCTAAAGAGGGATCCTAAAAAAGGTGTCAGTGTCCTGAGGCTTCTGATGGTATCAGTATGTCAAAAGTTGAGTAAATATTTGACTGACCAGAGGTGATGGACAGATTGACACATTTGCAGCCTTAGTATCAGAAACATAATAAACAGTCTGTCTATGTTCGGCATACATATCCACATAGTAACAGAAATGTTGTTCAGTTAGGAAAGCAGAAACAAACTAAGAACGAGTCATGCAAACGTGTTGAGGTTTAATTAGATTTCTATGCAGATTATGTCACGATCGGGTGTTGGTTGAGACGCAAATGCAAACAGAACTCCACTGAAGTCAAAAAGAGTTTAATATACAAAAAGGGAAAAACAAACATGAAGTGCTGACAGGGCAGCATTACTATTCAAAAGGCGATAACAAACATGAGGTGCTGACAGGGCAGCCATATTACTCACGACTCGAGGAATAACCAAAAGTACCAGGACGCTAGGAGCCGACCATGAAGGTGTAGTCATGACACATAATGCTCCTCTGCCTGAGAGTCAGGAGAGCTCAGAATATAAAGGTGAGCCACTAATTAAACCAATACGTAGCACCTGGAGAGTCATTAACAGGACTGGGGCAGAGAGTCATTAACTAGTGCACAGAAACAGGACTGGGGCAGAGCCTTACAGATTAAACACTTCCTTAATATTGGAGATTATTTGGGGTCTTTGTTTGCCTGGCTCACAATAGAGGTGCTAAAGATGCATGCATGAAGATGTCAGAGTGGAAAAAATAGTTTTGGGACATGGAACATACTGTATTTTTCGCTGTGTAA